GAACAACTGTAATAATCTGAACAATAAAGATTTAATTTAAAAATAACAATAATAATAAAATGAAAAATAATTTCAAGGGGAAAAAAAGAATAGTAGTTTGGAAATAAAAGAATAAACTATTTCTGTATTTTCTGTGCTAGAGCTAAACACTGAAAATTAAATTTTGAGGAATTTTATGAGCCTGTAGTGAAAAATGGTGATTTTAAAAAATTAAATTATAAATACTTAGAGTTAAGTACCTGCATTGAAGACAAGAGCAATGAATACTTAAAACTGAAAAAAAAGAAAATGATGTTCTAATCATTCATTATGATGATGATGACGACACTGATTCTTTACTAGCTACCTTTTGCTTTTCCTCACTGTTAACATAACTTTAAGTCACATACTATTAACCAAAAATCGTGGTTGCATTATTTTTATTGTTTCTCTTTTTATTATGTTAATAGATGCAGAAGGAAGATGCACAACAGAAATAACAAAACTCAAATCATGATAGCCCATAGATTAGAAATGATCCAGAGCTTTTTTCCTTAACTGTCAAATGCCTGACTAAACTTAATGGGAAAACCATTCTTAAAAAACAATAATTTGGCCCATGCTCATATTCCAGGTTACCTAAAAGCCTCTTCCTCCCCATTGGCCAGAAGGAAAAATGCTGTAAACTGTCTAACATAACCACAGATAAAGTCCTAGGAATGAGCCTTCCTTATTTCGTGAGACTGAGCAATTATCAAAATAGTCATCAATACATCTTCTGGATTGATTTATGACCAAAAGGGGGAAATGAGGAAAGAAATGGGGCTTAAGCTCTTCTGACTAAATCAGTAACTAGGGAAGAATAGTCTATCTAAAAATTCATCCTATGGCAAACCATGGGGAATAGTCATATATATCAGTGATTACAGAAAACAGTGCCTGTTCTTTCTATATCCAGATTATCAATGTAAGAAATGTCCAAACCTGTAGAGAATTTTTATAAGAGTTTATTTAAGACAAATGATGACATGTCTGGGAGCAAGATCTCAAATGATCCAGAGAACAACAGTTTTTCAGCTTCTTTTATGCATTTAAGATTAAGGAGGGAACATAAGGAAGATTATATGAAGGTGGGAGGAAGCAAGCAAGGATGAGATTATAGGATAGTTACGATTATGTGTTCTCTTGAGGTGTCTGAAAGGGAGCATTTCAAAGGTATGTTAATCTAGATGCATAAAAACAATGGGCAGGGCTTGCTTAAGGCAAAGATAAGCCTTTTACTAAAAAGTTATGTACCTGGGGCATGACACCCCACCATAACCTGTCCAGTTAGGAATTTATGATCAAATCCTCTAGGGAGGTTACTCTCCATAGAACTCCTTTTTGTCATCCACAAGATAAAATGCATCTCAAAGAGTTTCAAGGCAATTTAATTGTTTCCAAACCCAACCTTATTTTCATATACATCCTTTCCTTTCATGTAAAATTGTTAACCACTGAAATATATGTACCCTAATTAAAAATGAGCCAGGTGTACTTTTTGCTTACTCCTCTGCCTATATAAGCACCCCTCACTTTTTCAAAGTTGGAGCACTGTTTCAAGGTTTCTTGAAGTTCGGCTCTCAGGTTACAGTCCTCAGATGGGCCCAAATAAAAATTCTTTACATTTCCAGAGATTCAGTTTTCTTTTCATTGACACTTGTATTCCCAGAATAAATCCCACTTAGTTATGGTATATAATACTTTTTATATGCTTCTGAATTCAGTTTGCTAATATTTTGTTGAGGATTATTTCATCTATATTTAGTAGAAAAAATGATCTGCACTTTTCTTAATTTTGGATGTTTTTGAGTGTCTTTGGCATCAGAGTAATTGTTTTGTGCTGGTCTCAGCTTATTAATGATACTATTGGCTAGAAATGCCTGGAGGTATTAGGACCCTGGACCCAAGGTGAGCCCCCTTTCTGAACCAATGTTGTGGCTGGATCAGCATTTGTGGTTCTTAGCATGACTGAGAGAGAAACCTCAGCAGTAAACATCAGGAAACTTTGAAAGAACAACAAGGTTTATTACTTACAAGTCCTGAAGGGTACAGGGCCACTTGGCAAGGTTGCAGATAAAGAGTGCTTGAACTTGGGCTCTGCTTTTATTGGGGTCGAGGGTGAGGGGCCTAGGGTTTCATGAGTTTACTCTTATTTGGCAAATTCAAAACATAGGAACAAGAATTAAAGTGCAGGAAAGGGAAAAAAAGAGTGGTCAGAGATCTCTAAAACAAAGGAAACTTCAGGGGTGTGGCAGCGTAGCTCTTTATTCAGTCCTGTAGCTGGCAATGCATTTACTCTTTGAAGAGGATTGTTGGGGTCCAGCCCCAGTAGGTCCAGGGGTTCCCCAAGGTGTGGACGGAGTCGGTGAAGAAGGAATGACACGGAGGCAGCATTCAGTTGATCAGCAGCCTAGCCAGGATCTCTAGCCACGATCTCTGGCCAAGTTCTGGTTAGGATCTCCAGCCAGGTTCTGTTGCCATGTTCTCTCAGAGTTCAGTTAATCAGCAGCCTAGCCACTTTCTCCAGCCAGGTTCTGTGTTTATTGTCCTGTTACATCTGTATTTATACCAGTTGATTTTAATCCTATCCATTCTATTCCAAAGGTTAGGGCATTTGTTATCTCCATTCCAAAGTCACTACTCTATTGTTCTGTTAAGCTATAAGGAAGTAACTGAAGGAGATTATTATCCTAAGTGATTGTTCGTAGTTAAAGTGATTAATTACCCACCTGGCACTTAGCTAAGGGGTTTTATTCCCTTCCTTAGTCCTGTTAATCCCTAACTCCAGGGGAAAATCCCACCTGGGGAAACAACCTTTCTCGGAGAGGTGACCTTGGTTAAAACACATAGCGCCAAGAAGGGGAGCAAACATATTAAGAACAGTATGCCATATTCGCCAGGTCCCTTGAAACATATGCTGTGCAGATGTTTCTTCTCTGCAGCGACTGTGTCAAGCAGCAAGGATGGACCGGCTCCCGGCAGAGGATGTCTCAGCAATTTAAAGCTTAATATCAGGCACTTGCATTACAATAAAAAACCCAACTGTCAGGGGTTTGCACTACAGTAATATTGGCCTAATAGACCTGTGGCAGGATAATAAGAAGCTATGAAAATTCCTGGGCAAGTGGAAGGGTAAACTGAGACAAGAGAATTAAACAAGGCCAAACAGTTTGGGCAGTTTGTCAATCGTGACCTTATCTTCCCCAAACCAAGGAGACTTGGATGCAAATGGTTAATGGCTCTCCTCCTTAACCATAGAATACATGGCTTAAATCACCCTGGCCTGGGAAAATAGAGAACAAAGACCCCAGCTAAACCCAAGGACAAATATCACTTGGGGGATGCTAAGGAAGCAAGAGGGGAAGGGTTTAAGAAGGGGAGAGTTTTATCTTACTAAACAAAGAAGTCAGCTGTCTTTGGGAAGGTGTGTGGGGGGGGTGGAGTTTATCTCACTCACTGAACAAAGAAGTCAGTAGTCTTGGTACTTGCCTAGATAAAATCTCCAGATGTTCTCATAAATTCTGGGAAAAGCCACAACAAAGTAAAAGGGGGACTTTGAAATCTAGTCTGTTGCCCAAGATATCTGGCAGAATAACCTTGAAACCTATAGACAGAAAACTTCCACCAGGTGAGGTGCTCAGATTAGCTGGGCTTCCCACTTGTGCTTTATGTCGTGTATTCTTAATAAATTTGCTTGCTTTGCTACAATGTTGCTGTCTGTCATTCCTCTGAAACCTTTCTTATGAGATTGACAGGAGCCGAGGAGGGGACAGCCCCTCTCTGATTCAGAGCTGTCCGCTAACATAGCTAATTTGAAAGTGTCCATTCCTCATCTATTATCTGGAAGAGTTCGGAGGAGTGTTGTTATTATTTCTGCCTGAAATGTTTGATAGAATTAAGCAGTATTGCCACCTGTACAGGACCTATTCATTGTGGGAATATTTTTAGTTATTAATTTAGTTGATTTTTTAAATCTTCTACTGATTCTATGAAAAATGATAGAAACAGAGTCATTTCAAAATGGAGTCCAAGCCTCCACCTCAGAGGAATTGCCTTGCACATACCTCTTACTCCTCAAACCTTTGGAATGTTTGAAGTGGACAAAATAACCTTTGGACTGGGCCAAAGCAATATTGTATTCCAAACAACTGTTTGTAAAACAAACAGGAAAGCAGATGAAAGGACTGAAAATTAAGGACATTCTTTAGAGTTCGCACCACCATGTATAGCTAATGAATAACTTAGCTTATTAGCACTAATAGAAATTTCTTCCTTCTATTCATGTAATGATTCCTCTTCCTTTTCTCATAAAAACCCCTTGCCTTCACCCCATAATCAGAATATTATTTGGGTTTCTGCCTGAATCAGTGCTTCCTGAATCTACTAGTATTCTTTGATCTCAAATAAACGCTTGTTGCCTCTTCCCTTAGCTTTTGTTTTCAAGTTAACAAGTCTGATTTGGAGTTTGTGTCTTCCCTCAAATGTTCTCATTGCATCTTTGTGTATAATTTGTTCTCATAAAGTTGTCACACTATTTTCTTCTAATTTTTTCAACTTACATAGAGTCAGTGGTGCTGCTTCTTTTTTTAGTCCTGATTTCGGTGATTTCTGAGGAATCTCTTTTTTTTAAAGTATATTTTATTGATTTTTTTTTTTTTACAGAGAGGAAGGGAGAGGGATAGAGAGTTAGAAACATCGATGAGAGAGAAACATCGATCAACTGCCTCCTGCACACCCCCAACTGGGGATGTGCCCGCAACCAAGGTACGCGCCCTTGACCGGAATTGAACCTGGGACCTTTGAGTCTGCAGGCCGACGCTCTTTCCACTGAGCCAAACCGGTTAGGGCTGAGGAATCTCTTTTTCTTCCTGGTCAGTCTGCCTAAGATTTTTTATTTTTTATTATCTTTTAAAAAATCAACTTTTGGTTTCATTGATTTTATGATGACAAATTCAGAATAAAGATTACCTCTGAGGGGGGCAAAGAGAATGGGATCAAGAGGACTACAGCAGACTTGCTGGGTAATAGTGTGTGAACAAACATTCCTAAAATATTTGATGAGGGAATGAAGGACTCCTAAGTATGTATTTCTAACTCTGACTACTCACTGGAGCTCCAGAATCAAAATTTTGAAGTACAATCTGGATAATTCCATTAGCATGTCCTATAAGATCCTCAACCTTAACACATCTAAAAACCATCACCTCATTCCCCAAACTGCTCAACTTCCTAGAGACTGACTGCCATTTCTCAGGTGACTGTACAGTGAGGAAAAGACAAATACGCAGACCTGTCTGATGTCTGTCTACTGAACTTCACTTCCTCTTGAGCAAAAGCAAGCTGACCAACTATTTTTGATGTTGCTGTTGCTTAAAATTTTTTTATTAAAGTATAGTTGGTTGGCATATAATATAGTATATTAGTTTCAGGGGTACTGTGTTGGGCTGCATATCTGGTGCTTCGGCCAGGCGGGGCACGCTGTCCTAGAACATATAGATAGGAAGGTACTGACATCAGGCCAGGCCTTGAGGTATGGTCTCACGGCCCTTTCCCAACACGCAGGCTTTCTTTCTCAGAAGGCCCGGAAGTCTCATTCCAAATTTGGGAGACAAAGGACTGGAAAAAATATAAATAAAGAGAGTTTCCTCCATATTGGGGGCCCAGAATTTGAAAGACCACATTTTTCTCTGGGCCTCCACAGAATTTAATAATAAAATGTAACTCCTGTAGTAGCAGGGTGCTGTAACTGTAGTCGCTGGCCAGCTTAATAAAGGCTCCTAAATTTTGATCTGAGTGCCTGGTGGTCGTCTCTGCGGGTCACCCCATTACAGTACAAAATAAGTGATTCAACATTTATATACCTTATTATGTGAAAATTAAAAACAGAAACACCATACAACCCAGC